ATATATAAGTCAAACTCCTCACGTCTGTGGGGATATACCGTACAGACCACATCCCGATAAATGCCAAAAGCTAATACAAATTCTGGAATGGTTAGCTTCCTATTTAATCGTGCATCCCTGGATTTGACCACCACAGAAATATCGTCATAAGCGTAGGTCTTATGTTCCACTATATCCTGGGAGGCAATTAGTAGTGAGGCCAGATTTACATCTTTACCTTCCAGGATATCTCTCCTGAGGTGCTCAGGAATCATGTGGGCAGGGTAAACTTCTTGGTCATCCGAGGTGATAGCTGGAGAAACTGATTGCGACTCCACCACTGATGGGGGAATTGCCGTGGCCGGTCCAGCCATAGTGAGGGCTGTAGTGACCGATTCAAGTTTCTCCAGCCTAGAATTGACCTTGCTCATGGATGTCATGAGGGACGTGAGCATGTCATGTATGTTTCCTGGGTGGGACTGGCTCGACCCTTCCCCAGCGTCCACGTTATCGGTTGAGGTGTGTAATAATTTGTAAAGTTCCGCTTTCCTTGCTGTTGCTGGAAAAGGGATTTGTCGTCTCCTGAGTTCGCTAGTGATACGAGGGATAGTCCATGATCTGAAAGATGCTGGACTAGCCGTATCTTCCTCCTGTGATGGGGTGTTTGTTCTAGCCGGAGTCCTTGGGATGGAGAAATCCTCTACCCCTTCTTGAGACATACTAGATTACAAAGTATATGGTTAGCGTAAAAAACCCCCGAGGGGATGTACTGGCAGGCTAATTATGCCGGATGAGGCGAAAAATTAAACTTGTTCTTTGGTGACAGGTGAGGCCCTGCTAGTTGCCAAGTGGCTATGAGAGGCTCTATCTATGCGTTGGCGCGAGGGGTTATTGAGGCCACCCGACGTAGTGGCAGGAATTCGTAGGCCTCTCGGTGACAATACAAGAAAACAGGGGAAGGGAGTGACAGGTGGCACCCTCTCTATAATGCGAGGCGGCTAACTCACGTGTGGCCCGGGGGGCATTACCTCCGAAACGTTGAGGCGGGGTGTTGGCCTCGCGGACCACTAAACGATAGGCAGAATGCCCGGAGGGGGGATACCTATTTGGGCCTATAACCCCTAAAATTGCCAGTACTCTATGTCCTAAGTAGAGGAGGAGCCATATGTGATGTATGGCGTGAGCAGGCTTAACGTACCTGGTAGTATGTATGCGTTTGATAAGCGATAGGTAGAGAAAACTGGAAAAAACCTAAAGGGATAGAAAACCAAATATGATAGTGTGAGAATTGGATCCTATGATACCAATTTAGACTAGTTAGTTGTGATGAGTTCTAGTAGTACATATGGAAGGGGAATACATGAATGATATTGGCCCGACTGGCCCTGTATGTGGTATGGTAATCATGCTTGGGGGTGTGTATGATATGTCTCTTATGGTGACAAGATTAATGTGTATGATATAGTAATGCTAGTGTTTGTAGTATAATAAGGTGCAGGATTTAAAACAATACCGTATATGTTAGGCCGTAAACGTAAGCCATGAAAAGAGGTAAGTACGAGGTACAGGAATATTTGAGAAATTATCCCAATTTAGGAAACAACGTGACGTATGAGTGGTTGAATCAAGACGTGTGATTCAACCCGAAAGTTTGTGAGATTTTATGAGACCGTGTTCTTGTGTACTTGGTATGTCGTTTGAGTACACAAAGAAAAAGTCAGAATATATAAGTGCCATGTAAGAAACGTGAGTACATGGTATGATAGAAACGTAATTTCTAAACATAATTTATAACGTAAATCCTACAAGAGATATCTGTAAAATGTAAAAGCTTGTCTAAGCTTAACTCCATAAATATATGTATATAACATGAAGAATTTCAATAAAACTTTAATAATGCCATATCTGCTAAAAGATTGAACCATAACCTAAATAAATACTTATTTATAAGTAGTTAACAGGGGTATTGCCCCAGTCATATGCAAGGATTTCGTAATTTGCATAAAATAAATAACAGTAATAACATGAAACCAACTATAGCTGCTGATATGCAGAACAAGTTTGCTTAATACAAGAAAAACCGAAACCGATATGCCTGCCGGCAGCAAAGGGGTTAATATGCCTGTGACTTGGCCGTAAAGCGTGTGGCCGTAAAGTAAGGCCGTTTTAAATCGCGACGCCGTGGGAAATGATCCGGGCGACGGACTTACGATTTTGAAGTCCTGTGGACTTAATCTGCGACGAAAACACCGGGTATGTGCGTGGCTGAACGGGCGGAAAACCTGTAAGGATTCCTGGACACAGCTACACCAAACGAAAACCGCGGGTTTTGAAAAGCAAGATGGCGCCGTACGTGAACCGGAAGTGGATTCTCGATGCAGCGCTGACCTCGAACGGTATGGAGCCAGGTAAGGGGTGTCCCTTAAGTAGGGAGAAGGTGAGTCATACGCCCCTCCCACAATTACAGGCCAAAAGGCCTTAATACATATATATATATATATATATATACATGAACAATAAGAGTCCATTCCCACTCATTTTTTTCTATTTATCACAATGCTGAAATTCAAAGTGGAAATAATAAAAAATGTGAAATGGCATTCATACCATTATAAAAAAAATTATAGCAGCTACTACACTTCTGTAGGTTCGAACCTAGTTCACCACACCAAGAATCGAAAACATGCAAAAATGTTATAAGTGAACAAAACCCCTGATCAAGATGTGGAGCATTAATTTGAAAACAAACTTCCCTCTCTATGAATAGCATATTTATATTATAGAGTAGAATATATCTACATAAAGAAAAGAGAATTATAAAATTGATAGTGTGATACAGTAATACATAGACAACGTAATTAAAGAACACTCACATTCGACGGAGCCCTTATCTAATTGGCTAACAGTAGAATACAATAAAATCTACAGGATAGTCCATGCATCAATGCTCCAAAATGTGTTTCGCATTGAGGGCTTCTTCAATTGGAAGATGAGGTGAGCAATTTTCCTTTATTGTGTGTGCAAATATTTTACTTCGATAAATCTCCTCTATTGTATTTCTGTTTTAAATAAAATCCCATTTGTACCTATTAGATACTGGAGTCTATTAAAGGGACACTATAGTCACCTGAACAACTTCAGCTTAATGAAGTTGTTCAGGTGAGAACTATAGCTTACTGCAGCCTTTCACATGTAAACACTGTATTTTCTGAGAAAGCTAGGAACACCTCCAGTTGCAGTCACTCAGAGTGAACCAGAGGGACTTTGGAGTTAATGGAGGCATAATATGCCTCCATCCACTCAGATCTGCTGTCAGCAGAGCACAGGGCAGCACTGTGCACAGCATCCTGTGATTCAGTATCTCCTCCCTCTGCATGCAGACACTGAACTTTCCTCAGAGATTCATTGATTCAATTCATCTCTATGAGGAGATGCTGATTGGCCAGGGCTGTGTTTGAATCATGCTGGCCCTGCCCCTGATCTGCCTCTTTGTCAGTCTCAGCCAATCCTATGGGGAAGCATTGTGATTGGATCAGGCTACCACATGTCAGCAGACTGCTTGTTTTTCTGAGTCTAACAGCATGCAGATTTACAGCTTCAGGCTTGAATTTTTACTATATTTATGGAGGCATGAGGGGCCCAGGGGGGCTAGGTGGTGGTGTTAACACTATAGGGTCAGGAATACATGTTCCTGACCCTATAGTGATCCTTTAAGTAAGCAGCTTTTGGAAATTGAGGATTGAAAAAGTTAGAATAAATTAGCTGATTTGCAAAAAAAATAAAAGAAAAAAAATCCCTATTTTGCAGAACTGGAGATTGTTTTCAACTCAACCATATTAACCATTGTTTTTTTTATTTCTATTAGCTTCTCAAGTTACCACCACCCAGAAAGATTTTTTTAAATCTTAAACTCTTATGCTCAAGTTCCTTGCCTCACCCATAAAATGTGGAGCTCGTCACAAATCCATTCTACAGACTGTGATTTAGTGTTAAACTAGCCAAAATTTTAGGAAGGGCAGTCAATAGTATGCCCAACCCACTTGTATATTATTATCCCCCACCCGCTGCCTACAGAGATGTTAGGTCCCCCCCAGGGTTAAAGGACCTTGGATGTCACACAGGCCACCTTATCTAAAGGAAGTTATCTGGGTGCAATGGCCCTGTCATTTTAACCCTACAATGTAAAATACTGCAGTTTTCTAGAAATCACAAAGTATAATTTGCAGGTTTAAATCCACATATAGAGGCTATTATCCTGACACGCACTAGAGGTGCTTTTGTGGCACTGACTAAAACTCAGTCACATGACATGGAAGCACCATTTGGTTAATGCTTTTGTATGGAGAAGCGTGGATGCGCTTGCAGCATTCGCTGCACATACATATTAGGTCCCCAATGCATGCCATCTCTATGTGGCCGCAAATTCAATATATATTTAATAGCCACCACCTGCCAATGAGTGGGGGCTGAGGGAGACGATAGGCTATCCCCATGTATTATTAAATTAAGAGCCCCCCCACCTGCTGCCCATGTTTTGTCTGACAAATAAGTTAACGTTATCCTAGCCAAAAACATTACTTTTTTTAATGCAAGACTTTCTGTTGAAATTAGCCTCATAACCTTGCTGACAGCACAAATAAAAGATTAATTGCCTAAGCTGGACACTTGATCATTTTTAGTGACTACGTTTATTGCTATCATGAACTTGATATAACATCAGAGTGAAATATTGTTATTTAGATATTTCAGAGCATTCAGTTTGAATATTCCTCTTGGCACAATTCCAAGCACCAGAGAGTCTTCTTATAGGAAAGTAATAAAGGACCACTCTAAGCATCATCATAACCTTGCGTAACTGCAGTTGTGCACATATAACCTGTACAATCAACTCCGCAAGTGGCTTAGAAGTGCACCTATAAGACAGTCCCTCTGACTTGTCAATCAAGCAGGCAGAATGTTTGGTTCCAGCTGACAAATGTGAAGGCTTGGCCTGCAGTTGTGGGAGAGGCATGTTAACCTACTTAAACCCCCTCCTCACCTTCCTCAGTCCCGTTCATTTTAGTGATTCGCATGTCGGGTCGCCATTCCTCTCCTGTTCCTCGTGGCTTCGCTATCCTGGCCTGCTGTTCCCTGCTGCTCATTGGTCCGCAGTCCTCCTGGCGCTGCGAGCCTCGGGTCTCCGTTTTGCGGGCGTTCTTTGGTCTCTTGGGGGGGGACGGCTCTGCTGTGGCGCTGCTCACCTCCGCTGGCGGCTCGGCTTGCCGCGCCTCTGTTTCAGGCGTTCTTGGCTGTCGGCGGCGGCGCTGTCGCAGGTTTTTCACGTCTGCACTCGCCGGTGGTCGCGAGTCCATGCAGCCGTGCAGGCGTATGTCGGGTACAGTTCTGGGTGAGGTGGGATGCTTGGGCATGGCTGGTATATGTTTTTTGTGGAGTCCTTGAACAGGTTTTGGGCTGGCCCTGCCGGGCAAGTGTCTCTGGATACTGCGTATATGGAGGAGATGAGGTCTTGGTACCGGATTTTCATGTGCTGTTTTGTCTCAGACGTGACTGCTCAGCTCCCTTTTCTCACTTGGGGCTTGAGGTTGCTGGGTGCAGTGTGAGATGGAACGGTGTGTGATTGATTGCCTGCTTTCATCTATGCTATTCCCAGCTCACTGTTTGCCTTAATGCAAGAGACAGAGTTTGCCTTGGGAAAAGCAGACATGCTTGCAATTTATGCAGATATCTGTGCTGCTTCTTCTAATTGCATGTATGTTGTTTTTATGTGCATCTGGTGTGAGTCTTTACTGTCTAACTAGCAGGCGGGCAAGTCTCATTTGGTCTTCACAAGGCCCAGGGAGCAAGGTTTTAAATGGGGGGGGGTCCCTAGTGGAGCTTGCCCTTACACCTACTAGACATGTAGTACTCCTTCTAGGGACGTTTAGCTGGGTGACTTTCCATGTAGGCTTCTATGTGCGGTGAATTTGGGGGCGCAGGGTGTTCCTGGCACCTCTCTCACTCTTTCCCTCCCCTCTTAGTTAGCTGTTGCTGGCTGTCAGGGTCATAGGTGTCCACTAGTTGTAATTCCCCCTGGCTTCTTCGCCTTAGGTTAGTGGTCCCGCGAGGCCAAGACCCATCCTCATACTCGGAGGTACTACGCCCCTCGGGCCAAATCATAGTTAGTCGCCTCGCATCGTGGCACAGAGAGGGCCTGTTTAACTGTCACCGAGAGGCCAACACCCCGCCACAACGTTCAGTGGCCAGGTTATCTCCTCGCACCAACGCATAGATGGAGCCTCTCCCGCCGCTTGGCACCTAGCAGAGCCTCACCTGTCACCGAACCTAATTTTTAATTGTTTCGCATTTTGGCTTTAGCTAGTATGCCAGCACTCTCATACACACACACACACACACACACTCACACAGGGTCTCGCGAGCCACGTGGGCATTACACCAACACGTACTCTATTACCTATTGCGGGGCATGCTCCTTTCGGCCTGACCGCCTGGACTCTGTGACGCGCTTCCTCTGCTTTTCGGTTGCGGGCGGCCCTGCGGTACTTCCTCGTTCACCCTCACGTTTCTTTCAATACACGTTCCTCAAATCCGTCCTCTCACACGCTACCTTCCCTCCCCTCTTAGTTAGTTGGGGCTGGCTGTCAGGGTCACTGCAGTTGTGGGAGGGGCATACTCGGAGGTACTACGCCCCTCGGGCCAAATCATAGTTAGTCGCCTCGCATCGTGGCATAGAGAGGGCCTCACCTGTCACTCCCATTCTATCTTATGTTTAACTGTCACCGAGAGGCCAACACCCCGCCACAACGTTCAGTGGCCAGGTTATCCCCTCGCGCCAACGCGTCCACTAGTTGTAATTCCCCCTGGCTTCTTCCCTCCCACTGCAGTTGTGGGTTAGGTTGGGGCTCGGCAGGCAGGGTCACTGCCTGTGGGAGGGGCATACTCGGAGCATAGTACTACGCCCCTCGGGCCAAATCATAGTTAGTCGCCTTGCATCGTGGCATAGAGAGGGCCTCACCTGTCACTCCCATTCTATCTTATGTTTAACTGTCACCGAGAGGCCAACACCCCGCCACAACGTTCAGTGGCCAGGTTATCCCCTCGCGCCAACGCATAGATGGGTGTCCACTAGTTGTAATTCCCCCTGGCTTCTTCGCCTTAGGTTAGTGGTCCCGCAAGGCCACTGCAGTTGTGGGAGGGGCATACTCGGAGGTACTACGCCCCTCGGGCCAAATCATAGTTAGTCGCCTTGCATCGTGGCATAGAGAGGGCCTCACCTGTCACTCCCATTCTATCTTATGTTTAACTGTCACCGAGAGGCCAACACCCCGCCACAACGTTCAGTGGCCAGGTTATCCCCTCGCGCCAACGCATAGATGGAGCCTCTCCCGCCGCTTGGCACCTAGCAGAGCCTCACCTGTCACCGAACCTAGTTTTTAATTGTTTCGCATTTTGGCTTTAGCTAGTATGCCAGCACTTCATACACACACACACTCACACAGGGTCTCGCGAGCCCCGTGGGCATTACACCAACACGTACTCTATTACCTATTGCGGGGCATGCTCCTTTCGGCCTGACCGCCTGGACTCTGTGACGCGCTTCCTCAGCTTTTCGGTTACGGGCGGCCCTGCGGTACTTCCTTGTTCACCCTCACATTTCTTTCAATACACGTTCCTCAAATCCGTCCTCTCTCATGCTACCTTCCTTCCCCTCTTAGTTAGTTGTGGCTGGCTGTCAGGGTCATAGGTGTCCACTAGTTGTAATTCCCCCTGGCTTCTTCGCCTTAGGTTAGTGGTCCCGCGAGGCCAACACCCATCCTCATACTCGGAGGTACTACGCCCCTCGAGCCAAATCATAGTTAGTCGCCTCGCATCGTGGCATAGGGAGGGCCTCACTTGTCACTCCCATTCTATCTTATGTTTAACTGTCACCGAGAGGCCAACACCCCGCCACAACGTTCAGTGGCCAGGTTATCTCCTCGCGCCAACGCATAGATGGAGCCTCTCCCGCCGCTTAGCATCTAGCAGAGCCTCACCTGTCACCGAACCTAATTTTTAATTGTTTCACATTTTGGCTTTAGCTAGTATGCCAGCACTCTCATACACACACACACACACACACACACTCACACAGGGTCTCGCGAGCCCCGTGGGCATTACACCAACACGTACTCTATTACCTATTGCGGGGCATGCTCCTTTCGGCCTGACCGCCTGGACTCTGTGACGCGTTTCCTCTGCTTTTCGGTTACGGGCGGCCCTGCGGTACTTCCTCGTTCACCCTCACGTTTCTTTCAATACACGTTCCTCAAATCCGTCCTCTCTCACGCTACCTTCCCTCCCCTCTTAGTTAGTTGTGGCTGGCTGTCAGGGTCATAGGTGTCCACTAGTTGTAATTCCCCCTGGCTTCTTCGCCTTAGGTTAGTGGTCCCGCGAGGCCAAGACCCATCCTCATACTCGGAGGTACTACGCCCCTCGGGCCAAATCATAGTTAGTCGCCTCGCATCGTGGCATAGAGAGGGCCTCACCTGTCACTCCCATTCTATCTTATGTTTAACTGTCACTGAGAGGCCAACACCCCGCCACAACGTTCAGTGGCCAGGTTATCCCCTCGCGCCAACGCATAGATGGAGCCTCTCCCGTCGCTTGGCACCTAGCAGAGCCTCACCTGTCACCAAACCTAGTTTTTAATTGTTTCGCATTTTGGCTTTAGCTAGTATGCCAGCACTCTCATATACACACACACACACTCACACAGGGTCTCGCGAGCACCGTGGGCACTACACCAACACGTACTCTATTACCTATTGTGGGGCATGCTCCTTTCGGCCTGACCGCCTGGACTCTGTGACGCGCTTCCTCTGCTTTTCGGTTACGGCGGCCCTGCGGTACTTCCTTGTTCACCCTCACATTTCTTTCAATACACGTTCTTCAAATCCGTCCTCTCTCATGCTACCTTCCCTCCCCTCTTAGTTAGTTGTGGCTGGCTGTCAGTGTCATAGGTGTCCACTAGTTGTAATTCCCCCTGGCTTCTTCGCCTTAGGTTAGTGGTCCCGCGAGGCCAACACCCATTCTCATACTCGGAGGTACTACGCCCCTCGAGTCAAATCATAGTTAGTCGCCTCGCATCGTGGCATAGGGAGGGCCTCACTTGTCACTCCCATTCTATCTTATGTTTAACTGTCACCGAGAGGCCAACACCCCGCCACAACGTTCAGTGGCCACGTTCTCCCCTCACGCCAACTCATAGATAGAGCCTCTCATGCCAGGGCCTCACCTGTCATCAAACCTAGTTTTTAATTGTTTCGCCTTTTTGGCATTAGCAAGTATTGCCAGCACGCACACGTACACTTTTACGTGCATGTTGGGTCGTTTATGCGTGGTTTCTTCATCTCTTTTTCTAGCGGGTCTCGGCTGCTAGGCGGGGTGTTTTTCCACCCGGGCTCTCTGGCTGGGTCTGGTTCTCATCACCCTATGGAGTTTTGGCTATGCCTACCTTTTTCAGGTCCTAGGCGCTTCGCTGCGGTTTCTCGCGAGTCGGCTTATTCCGCGGCCGCCTTCCGGTCAGCTGTTTCTCTCAATGTCTGTCCACCTGCATGGGTAACGCTGCTGTCGGCTGTGGGGCGGTGTCGGATGGCAGTTTTTGTCTCACGTATAACGTTTACTGTCTCTGTTGATGTGTTGTCTGCAATTGTCTTTCGCTTCTTTTTGCCACCCCTTACTTGCATCAACTCTACCTATCCAGTCTACGACTTCATATGTTATACAGGTTTTAGTCACACGCAGTTTCATGTCCTCATATCGGTTTATTACCATACTCTAGGGTTCAGGTTCTGGGAATTTTCAAGCTCCAGTTTTTTCCATCAACATCCAAGTTTTACAATCACTATCAGACCTATTGAATACTTGCCTAACGACCGGGCATCAACTTTCAATGTAGGGCGATATCTGCTTGATCCAAGGATAAATCCGACTGCTTTCTGGGGTCAAGAAGGAATTTTTTCCCTAGCTTGTTGCAAATTGGAAAGCGCATCAAACTGGGTTTTTTGCCTTCTTTTGGATCAACCGTTTAATCACAGATGTGAGGTAGGCTGGAATTGGGGAACGCTAGTCTTTATCAGCAAGGCAACTATGTAGTCTAGTTGTCAAGCCACTATACAGTTTCTCGTGGTCCCACATAGTTCCCACAGTCACCACGTCTTTTGCAGCATTGTCTCAGGGAATCTCACCTACTCATGCAGTCTATTGATTACCTTCTCTACCCCACACTTAGTCTACACTAGATGGCCAACATGTTTTTATATTCCTTACTTTCCCTTCCACAAGTTAGAGGGCCGTTCAAAGCACCGGGCACCTAATTACTCGCTCAGCTGTTACCATACGGCTAGGCTATTTAAGGTTGTTGGTTGCTTTT